CATTTCCCTGCCTCAGAACCCACAGGAACCCATGAGTGTTTTTTCTGGCACTAGGGACCAATTTACCTCTGAGATAGCTGTTAGGCAAACAGGAATTATCTGACACAAGGAACTGAGATGTCAGGATTTTTTTTCCTACTTCAGCAGTCACACCCTTCGTGCATGGAATGCTAAGGGTTTTTTTCCCTTTGTTTGTTTAATAATTCCCAAGGTATTTTCCGAATAGCAGTGAAAGAGCAGGGCAGTCTATCAAACACACTTAGCTATTATTATGCCGCCTATGCCCAAAGCCAAGAAAATTAGCCAGCTGTCAAACACCAGCTCTTCTCTCTGTATCCTTTATATGGTGTTTGTTTTCTCTGGGCAGGGCTGGGGGAAGCATGCAACAGCAGCTCAGATCAGGATCAGGGCCATCTTTCTGCTTCAAAAAGACCAATCAACTGTGTACAAAGAGATACATGGTGTACAGGAACAAGTCTCACCTGACGGCACCGTTTGGAAGTTGTCTGTTGCATCTTAGACCCTTTGTGTACTACAAAAATAAAAATAAAATCCATGTTTACACATCGGTGATAAAATATGGTTATGGCCCAATTATGTTAAAACAATGTACTTCTTGCCTGTGAGAACAGCATAAAAACTTGTTACAATAGCCTTTTAAAGTTTCCAAGGTGAGTGAAATATCAGTAATTCTAAAAATGATCATCCCTCAACATAGTAAAGAACATGTGAGTAGATTTTTGTGACTGTGCTGGCAAGTTTTAATGAAAAAAATTAAGTCCATGTATGTTAGGAAACTTATGTTTTACCAGTGTTAAAATACAGATCTCTCTGTGAGGATAACCGGTATTTTTCTGTGCTCACAGGCAAAACACAATAATTAAGTTAGTTAAGGCAGCTACAAAGAGTGGAAGAAAACAAGTTTTTACAGATAGGGAACCGAGGCACAAGGAGATTAAGTGACTTGCCCAAGGTCACACAGGAAGTTTTTGGCAGAGCTAGGAACAGAATGCAGATCTGCTCAGTTCCAGTCCAGCACATTAGCCATAATACCATCCCATCTTCCTGAACATATTTTAACACAGTTCAGACACAATTATGTTTACATATTTTTGGGCATTTTTCTTTTCAGAAAAATAGTAAGTTTAATTTTCCGCAAGCAGTTACAGGAAGAGCTGTAAGGAATGTCCCAAATACTGTCTGTTTCTCCCTATGCCTTGAATATAAAGGTTATATAGAATAAGGTGACACCTCTTTTGGAATGAAACGAGTCCTATAATGCTGGTGTGTCCTCTGTTGTGATTTGTGTGTGAGGGGCTCAGTGTTTCATAATAAAAAATAAACGGATTCAATTAGTCTGGATATTTATAGGCCATGATTAATTGAAATTATTTTAACACATGCAATGTAAATAATCTGCTCTAATTTATTCAGAAAAGATGGAATGATTAGGATCTCGACCGAGATGCCATTGCATGAGAGCCTGCATTGACGAAATATAAGTAGGTCTTTGCAAGTTATTGCTTAACTGATTTGGGATATTTCCATATATTTTCTTCTCTCTCTACACTTAGGCTCTTATTTAGAAGGTGTAACAATCTTTATGTAAATTGCCTAATGACCATCAGATTAAACATATCCCAAATATTAGTGCAAGAACCCACCTCCATTGATTTCACTGCTCAAATTCTCATTAAAATTCGATGGGAGTAGGACTGGACCCTGCCTATCTTTTATTTGTAGTCAGTTTAATTCTATTAGCTCAGGCTGTACATTTGGGCACAACACATCAGAGCAATTATTTCTCACTATTATGGCCTTTGATCAACATTCTCAGGTCCAATCACTCTACACCTTTGCTCACTCTTCCTGTTCATACCTCCTCCCTCCACTCCCAGCTTCCCTTCTTCTCTTTAAAGGAAAAAACAAAGCTGGGAACGGGGCAGGGTTGTCATGCCAGTGAGGCACTGGGTGGGGGTGGGAGAAGGTGCCTCTCTCAGTTACCTGGCCCAAGCAATTACAGATCCACTCTCCGCTTAATCCCATGTTATAGTCCTCTGCCATTAGAGCTGGGCAAATAACTGATTTTTTCAGTGTGGTGATTAAAACAACAACAAAAATTGTTTCAGGTCAACCTAAAATGAAAATATTTCAGGTTTTTCAGTGAAACTAAAAAGTTGAAAATTTCATTTGGGGTCAAACTATATATTTCTTTCGATCCAAAACATTTTTTTCATTTGAGGGGTTTATTATTATTATTTATTATTATTAGTTAAAAACAGAAATACAATTCAAAGTGAAAAGAGTGAATAGTACTTTCAATAAAAAATCAAAATATTGAATTTAGAAAATGTCAAACTGAAATATTTAGATTTATTTGGATTTTTTTTAATATAAAAACCATTGAAACAAATCAGTGCATTTGATAGCAACATGGAGTGAGGACCAAACTGAACAAAGCAACTTGACCTTAATGAAATCCCAAAAGATTAAGATACAGATTTTTTTCTTTAATTTCTGTGACCTTACCTTTATTTCTCTTTCTGACTCCTCTGCTTGAACTCTGACTGCAGGAAAAATTGTGCACCGTAGGCCAACAACCTTAACTGAGCTTTTATTAACTGACTTAGCTGAGCCTGTGACCATGCTGAAACTCAACAGAGAACAAATTGCACAGATCTATGTAGGAAGCCCACTTCCAATATCACAGCCCCATCTACAAAATGATGCAGTCATATGGGGATCAGTAACTAAGTCAATTTACCTATTTATAAATTTAGCTAAATATGTAACTAAATCATCTCTGTGAAGTGCTGCATATGTGCAAAATATTATTAAGGCCATTCAGCAGTGACAGTGGAATCAGAATGCAGGACCTCCAAAGTCCCAGCTCTGCGGTCTCCCTTTAGCTCATATATTTTGGGGAATTTGTTTTGGTGTATGCGCAGGGAATAGGAATACCACTTTCTCCAGCAGCATGGTTTTCAAATTTCACAGGCAGCTTGCCAAGTTTTCTCACAGTTCATTATATAAATATAAGGGGGGAAAAAAAAGTGTTCAGTCTTCTCAAATTTCTGGAGGTTTGAAATCATGTGAAATGAACCATAAATAAATTTAACATGACTGTCCATAAATGTTTTGCCCAGTTCTAACCCAGAATCATAGAAATTAGAGACTGCAAAGACCTACTAGATCATCTTGTCTATTCCTCTTTCAGTGAGTCTGCTCCAAACTATAAATTCTATGCTGCTTTCTCTAATACACTTTAAAAGGACACAAACAATAGAGCTTACACCACCTCCCTTCACAGACACTTCAGGGCCCTGCTCCTAATTGGGCTTCTGGCACTACTGAATATAGTGTATATATAAGCACTCTAACAGATCTCTCTTTTAGGAAGTTTTTGTTGACATTAAGTTTGTTTGTTTTGGTTAACTTCAAATTACTCCTTTCCTTGAAACCATCCAAGATACCTTTATATGGTTCATATCACACCGTAATCATCACGGGCCATGCATGAGCATTTAGTTCTTTTAATCTTTCCTCTTTAATTAATCCCTTCTGCCCCTTAACCATTTTTATTACTTTTCTTGGTAATTCCCTTATATTTAATGACAACTTCCTGGTTTTGAGGTGTCCAGAAACTGAATGTTGAATTCTAGACACCATTATAATCACAGATGGGAGCGAGTTGCTAAGGTTGTCACTGGAGAATAAAAGCAGATATCAGACTATGATTTTTTAAAAATGTAATAGCAGCACTAGGTTAAAAGCTTTCCCTGCATGACTTTGTGGCCACCAATAACTCTGCCTCCTACAACTCACCAAGGAACATTAGGTTTCTGCCACTGTTATTCCCAGTATTGGTGCTCCATTGGTGCCATCACCAGCTGGGCACAAGTTATACATACATACACATATATGTATATGTGTAAGTATATATATATATATATTCTCAAGTTTATGTTGGGGTCTGGACCAGTGAACAGCTGGTCCAAAATCAGGAAAGTGCAGAGGTGTGGAACAGGAAGGAGCTGAGTCAACAACTGCCTGTGTTTTGGAAACCCATCTTTGGAATATGATGGGTTGACTGCCAATTTGTAGTAGACAAAAAGACACGGTACTGGAGCAGGCTTAATTCAGTTAGCTGAGTCTCACTGTATGGTGACTGGAGTCTGCATGCAGTCAGGACCTGAACTAGAGCTCTTGCAGTTGGCAGGCACACAGTTCTAAAATGTCACTCAGCACTCTGGTAACAGCAGCAGATACTGTGCTAAATTTGTCCGAGCTGGAAGCTGCCCATTGCAGATGCTGCTGTGTGCCTCCCCCCAAGGTGTTTTGAGGTTTCATTAGTTATTTGTAGTGTGCTTTGTCATCCTCTGATGAATAGAGCTATTTAAAGGCAAAGCATTGTAATAGGAGGTGCAAGGACAGTGGTTACCTCTCTAGAACAGAGACTGCTTTATTATTACTTTTTTTTTGTACAGCAACTAGCATAAAGGAGCCCCGATCCTTGATTTGGGGCCATAGGCACAATCTAAAATGATTAATAATAATAAATTATAGTTATAGGCTATGTGATAACTGCTGACTTTTCAATGGCAGCCACTGTAAATGGGTTGTAAAACAGTGACATGTTTTTCTCCCTCAATATTTTGAATATTTTCAAAACTAAGGGTCTGATTCATTATTGCCCTGCCCCTTGAGCAATCATTTACCCCAGTGCAAAGTGAGTGCGAAACATGGTTTAACCAAAATGGTAGCATTTGACATCCATGTTGCACTGATGTAAAAACTATGTAAAGTCCAGGGCAGTGAGGTATCGGGACCTAAGTGCACAGAATGTAGAGTTACCCAGGAACATTATTAATATCTTGCTAATTCGGGGCCTCAGTCACATCCCAATTTATGTCCCTACCTCTGAAACCCCTCTTCTTACCTATTCACCCATCCCTGCCTCTGCTTCCCCTTACAGATTTAATTTGTAAGTATAGGTTGTGGGAAACAGACTGATTATGCGCTGAAAGTGGAAAGAGGGCAACTGAACTGGTCAGCGGGGGGTGGGACAGGACCTCTGTGTGCTTAAGCTGGCCCTGGAGAATCACACCTTCAGCTGAACAAAGACTCTCATACTAACCTCCTCTGAAAGGGACCTCATTAACCGCTAAAGTTCCAGGAGCTAGAGACAGAGGAAATTATTCATTTCCATAATTTTCTCCCTCCTCCCCAGAGAATTACAAGAATTTTGTATAAAACTGATTTATTGGACACTTAAGACAGTACCACTCTGAGCCATTTCAAATATCTAATCCTTTCTCCAAACCGACATTTTTGGGGGTTTTACAGTTTTTAGCATGAATTTGGACCTGATATACAGAAAACAAGCTGAATATGTTATTGATACATGACTGTCACATGATTCACTTGGCAAGAGTGGAATCTGTCCTGTGGAATCCTGTTTATTTTGTTTATAATTCAATAAGCTACGCATTCCTCAAGATGTCTCTATTACTCACCTAAGGGTTCACAATT